TAGTTATCACAATGCTATTGACTCTATTCCCTCATGCTGTAATTTACATCCCTGTGACTACCCTGTAACTACCAATTTGTACTTCTTAATCCCTTCACCTTTTTCACCCATCTCGCCCTCTCCTTCCCATCTGGCAACTGTCGAAATATTCTCTGTATCTATGAGTCTGTTTCTGTTCTCCTTTTTTAAAATTTTTATTTCATTTTTAGATTCCACATGTAAGTGAAATCATGTGGTATTTGTCTTCCTCCGTCTGACTTATTTCACTCAGCACAATACCTTCTAGGTCCATCCATGTTGTCACAAATGGCAAGATTTCATTCTTTTTTATGGCTGAGTCATATGCCATTGTATTTATGCACAGCTTCCTCTTTATCCGATCATCTGTTGATGGGCACTTAGATTGCTTCCATATCTTGGCTATTGTAAATAATGCTGCAGTGAATAGAGGGATGTATATGTCTTTTTTGATTTAGTGTTTTGGGTTTCTTCATATAAATACCCAGAAGTAGACTTGCTGGGTACTTTGTCTCTTGTTATATAGCCTTTGTTTTAAAGTCTATTTTGTCTGGTATAAGTATTGCTACCCCAGTTTTAATTTGTTTGTTTCCATTTTTATGAAATATCTTTTTCCATCCCTTTACTTTAGTCTGTGTGTGTCTGTCTATGTGAAGTGAGTCTCTTGTAGACAGCATATGTAAGGATCTTGTTTGTTATCAGACCTTTTTTTTTTTTTTGCAGCTATCAATCTAGTCTTTTATTCAAACATTGATGGATAATTGGTAAAGACAATTGGATAGTTAGTAGGGAACCGAATATTCACAAAACATCCTACAGATTACTTATTAAATATGTTGAACAAACATTTTCTCCAGTGATGAGACAGATTGGTATTGTGCGATTCCTAATGTCATAGAGAAGTACACAGCAGCATCTATATGGTTGTCTTGCCAAAATATTTTAACTTTAATTATGAGAAAACAATCGGACAAAGCAGCATTTAATTCACTTTCATTTAAAATCACTGTTGATAGATACTATTTATTGCCATTTTGTTACTCATATTTTTTACCTTTTTTCTTCTTGTTGTTGTTAAAGAAGATCCCTTAACATTGCTTGTAATACTGGTTTGATGGTGATTAAGTCCTTTATTTTTCCTTGTCTGGTAAGCTCTTTATCCGTCCGTCTATTCTAAATGATAGCTTTGCTCTAAAGAGTAATCTTGGTTATAGGTCCTTGCTTTTCATCATTTTGCATATTTCATGCCAGTCCCTTCTGGCCTTCAAAGTTTCTATTGAAAATCAGTTGACATTCTTTTGGGAGTTCCCTTGTAGATAACTACCTGATTTTATCTTGCAGCTTTTAAAATTATTTTTTTGTCTTTAACCTTTTGCATTATGATGTGTCTTGTTAGGGGCTTCGTTAGGTTCATCTTGTTTAGGACACTCTGTGCTTTCTGGACTTGTATGTCCATTTCATTCACCAGGTTAGGAAGTTTTCATTATTTTTCACATATGTTTACTATTTTTTGCTCGCTCTCTTCTCCTTCCGGTATCCCCATGATGTGAATGTTTGTACAACTGAAGTTGTTCCAGCAGCTCCTTATACTATCCTCACTTTTTTGGATTATTTTTTTATTTTTGATGTTCTGATTGGGTATTTTCTGCTTCCTTATCTTCCAAATCTCTGATTTGATCATCTGCTTTATCTACTCCACTGTTTATTTCTTATAATGTATACATCATTTTAGTTAGTGTATTCTTCATTTCTAACTGGTTATTTTTTATGTTTTTTTTCTTTGTTGAAATTCTCACTGAGTTCATCTACTCTTCCCCTAAGTTCATTGAGCATCCTTATAACCAGTGTTTTGAACTCTGCTTCTAGTAGATTGCTTGTCTCTGTTTTGTTTCGTTTAGCTCTTTTTCTGTAGTTTTGTTCTGTTCTGCATTTGGGACATGCTTCTTTGTATCCTCATTTTAGCTGCCTCCCAGTGCTTGTTTTATGTATTAGGTAGAGCTACTACATCTCCCAGTCTTGTTAGAGTAGCCTTATGTAGTAGATGTCCTGTAGGGTCCAGTGACACAGCCTCCCTGATCACCCAAGCTGGGCACTCCAGGCATGCCCCCCATGTGTGTAGTGTACATCCTTCGTTGTAGTTGAGCCTTGATCACTGTTGGCACCTCAATGGGACAGATTTACCCTTAGGCTAATTGGCTGCCAAGAACAGCTACTGCCACTGTGGAGGATCAGCTTGCAGGGGCCCACCTGTGAAGCAGGGCTCACTTCAGCAAGACTCTGGTGCCTGCTGAGCCCGCCCCTTGAGTGTGTCCCTTGTAGAAGATGTTGGGTTGTGCTTCAAGTGGTGTGAAGCTGCCCACCATCACCCCTATTCTAATATCAGCTGATTGTAAATGGTAATAATTATAATAGTTTAATTGTTTAACATTTTCTATATATTAGGTTTTTAATGCTTTTCATGCATTTAAAGCACACAGCAGTCTCATGCTGCCATTTTCTTCTCTTCATTTTATAATCAGGAAACTAGAGCTTAGAGATCTCTGTTAACTTATCCAATACTAAGAATTGACAAAGAGGCCAATGTGAACCCAATTTTCCCTAACTTCAGCAGCCAAGCTCTGAATAAATTCCATGATATTTTCCCCCAAATGGCTAAAGTAAAATGCAAATATGAGCCTAATGATATTCATAAATTTTCTTTTACCTTTTCTTCCTCCCCGTATTCTCTGTTTCTGCCTAATTAACTGTGTTTCACATGCTATTTTCACGTTTTGACCCAATCTGCCTTATAGTCTCCATCATTGTTTGTCTGCTGCTAGGAGTGCTTTTCTTAAACTCTTCTCATTATAGTCTCCTTTAATTTATGTTTCTTTGAGAGTTTTTTGGCATGGCTTGTCAGGTTGTTCACCATATGTGTTCTGTTGTTTATGTTTTAATTTTGTTAACAATTGTGTTTCTTTAGATATCAATGTTACTTTCTAATTCTGCCATTTTTTCCTCCTTCCTATTAATCATTGTATTTCTTGTATTAGTAATTAATAATTTGGCATAGAAATGGATATCTAATCTCAGTTATCATTTGCAGCAGTCTTGCGTGTAGATATTTAGTTTCCTAAATGAAAATATGCATTTATCTGAAAAATGTCAAGTGTACTTGGTCTTCTCCTTTTTGCCCTTGATTTGCTGGTTAGCGTATCATGACTCTTTTAGAAAAGAAATTTTGTTTACCTTTGTGCATTTGTTCTTCTAAGAGCAAGGCTATCCCTGATCTAAGTTTTAAACCCCTTTCACCATAATACGAAGCACATTGTTGGTAAACTTTTTAAACATGATTGTAAATGACTTGTTTGTAGTATTTTAGAAAAAATATAAATCCTCCAGAAATTGCATAAAGACATAAAACAGATTTCCTGATTATAAACTTAATGTTTATTAGCCTAATCTGATCATTATGAAACTTAATCTGTCAGACCAAACCTTGCCATTTCAAAGGACAGATCCTCTGGGAATGTACACACTTTCTGTTTAGAAAGTTGTTCTTAAATATTTTTCTAGTTTTCACCGTGTCATAGTACCTATTTCCGTAATTTTTGTGATTATAAGATTAAGTGTTAAAAGCTCGTTGGAAATAAGAAGTGCTGAACTCTCAGTTAAAAATCAGTTCTCAGTATTAGAATGTGTTCCTCCAGTTCACTCTGTGACTCTTTTGTCATTCCTACATGATTTCCTTAACTTCTTTTAACAATTGTTTTCTCGATGTGACATAATTTCTTTTGTGTTTGACATGGCAGATGTCATTTAATATAAGAGAAGATAAAATAAACTCTATTATCATCCATAAAGAAGCTCAGCAAGTCAAAGTTATGGGGTGTGATTTATAATTGGAACCTAATGCCATATAGAACATCCATGATAGAAGTGGGCATACTAGACACTGGCTATACTCTGGCCATATTATGATCTACAAGGCCAGGAAATAAATATACTACCTAAAACTGATCATGGCTAATAATTGTTGCAGTAGGTGATAGCTGGTCATATTCTATTAATATGAAAGATGCTGCTTTCACTGTATAGGTCAACTAAAACCTTAGGTGTCAAATTTTTTGAGATCCAGAAAGTCTCAAAAAATCACAACATGATACCAACAGAAAAGAATCTAGGAAGGAAACAAAAAATTGAAATTCAATTTGGAAATAGTTATACTGATTTTAGTAACTGGTGTGAAATCTTCTCAAAATAATTTCAACACATCAAAAAGATGCAAATGCTCTGGGAAAGCCAAGTAAGCTCATTATTTTGTTTGGGTTACATTGGGCTGGTCTTCACCTTCTCCTGCACCCCCACCCTTCTCCTGATGTATCAGTAACTGTGACAGCTTTGGTTGAAAAGAGGTCTATGAAAATCTTTTGTGAGTTACTTGACAGGAGCTAGAGCAGTCCTACATTTACAGCTCTAGTGCTAATTAGGGAAACACAAGCCCCACCTCCACTCCATGCATGCATTTCCTCACTTTTCCTTAAATTTTTAATTCAGGAAAATCAACTGCGTTACTAAGTTTATTTTACACCCTTAATAAACTTAATGTAACATCACATGAACAGTTTCTGAATTTTCTCAACATGAACACTAATTAATTGTCCATGACTCCCTATTAAATGTTCCCTGTATATATACTGGGTTTTGGTTTTGCACAGAGTTTACCTCAGATTAACAAAGCTTCCCTTGGATATTGGTAAGCAATAAACAGACGGCAGATGCATTTTCCCCTCGAGCTGAGAGTTTTATTTCTGAAATCGCATGCTAATTATCATCACTGGATAACATTAATATATTGGTTCAGATATGACCAATTAATTTTTTTTATTCTTTCAAACCCTTGTTTTTTTATGTGTGTAATTTTTCCCCCTGCCTAGACCTGGTTAACTGTTTCTGTGAGCAGGTCCTCAATTTTTTACTTTGTCCCTACTTTCCTGTCCTAGCCCCATCTTCCCCTGGTGTCGACTCCGTCCCCTTGCAGCGCACAGGCAGCCAGCATGGCCCACCGAATGCTGCCACGGCCACCTTCCAGAGGGCCAGCTACGCCGCAGGCCCAGCCTCCAATTACGCGGACCCCTACCGACAGCTACAGTATTGCCCCTCTGTTGAGTCACCGTACAGCAAATCCGGCCCTACCCTCCCGCCCGAAGGCACCTTGGCCAGATCCCCGTCCATTGATAGCATTCAGAAAGATCCCAGGTGGGTACAAAGCTTTTTCTTTTTCCTACATATGTCCAAAAAGGCTTTCTAACCAGGCATTGTACAGCATTACTTTTTCCTACATCACATTATCCACCATTCACATCATGAGCTAAGTATTAAAGGGTTGACTTTGGTTGGGTTGTATAATCTTTGGTCTGTGTTGGAACACGGGACACTTGGTCATGGATCCCTAGTATCTTCTGTGGTTTAGGAGCAGATAGTACAGATGATCTTTGGATCAGAACACTGGTAGGTGCTTGAGGTTTCAGCTATTTGATAAGGTCTGAAACAGCTCTCTCTTTAATGCAAAGGAAAATGGGGATTGGGGATGATCTCATTTGCCTTCAAGTATCATGGACTAGGTATTTTACTGTTTCAGTGGACGCATGCTTTGTCACTGGGTATGTTTCTGTTTATCAGTGTGTAAAGTGGTCCATATACCCTGCTAAACTAAAAATAGAAAAACTTAGTCCATAGTATCATTATTTTTCTGTGTCTGAAAGGAAACATGAGGTTAAAGTTGTTTGGGCATTGATAAGAACTTGAACATAATGTATTTAAGAAATTGTTAGGTTGAGATTTTTTTTTTGGCTTTCTTTTTTTCAACGGTGGCAAGGGATTTAGTGATGCTCTACTTCTGAAGTTGGAATTGAATTCCTGCAGAATTAAATAATGTTTTATTCATAGCCATTTGATTTATGCTGATAGAGTCCCATAAATATATATCTACATCTGTGAATACAGTAGACTTGTCAGATTTCTGGTATTTCTGTGTAGCAGGGCATGTGACTTGACTCGGGTGCCATACTTGAAATTCGTCTCCAGGAATTTTCTCTGATGGAGCACAAAAGTGCATAAGTACTCTGTTGAGGGGGTTGCATAGATTATTTTCTTAAAAGAAATCACTCTTGCAAACATAAAGGTAGAATGTGATTATTTTATGGTATTCTTTGAGATAGCTTCCTTAGCACAATTCCACCCCCATGGAGGGTTTGGTTCATGTTAAATGTTATATTGGGTAGAACATCCATTGTAAAAGTGAACTGTAATAAATGTTTATTTCACTATTAACTACTAGAAATGAGATATACTTACATTTATACTGTGCAGCATCCTGCATGTTCAGGTTTTCAATCTCAACAGCAATCTCTATAGTATTGGTCCTGAAATTGGTCCCCAGTCTTTAATACGTTCTGGTCATGTGTGGAAAGAATATAGAATATTCTTCAGATGGCAGTTCAACAGTTTTTAAATAAATTTTCCTGACATGCAACCGAAAACATATAGAAATAGAGTAATAGTAAGCTCTTAAAAAATGCTAAGTCGAATATTGAATTGGCGTTGCTTTATTTAACATTGCATATTTAAATTGAGGATAAATGTTTTATCTCCAATGGGAAGGTTTTGAATTTTCATATTAAGGGAATTTGACTTAATAAGAAACCAAATTTATGTTTCTCTAGCTACAGATAAGCTACTTTATTTTCTACTGCGAGCTAAATGCATTTTATTTTACTAAGTGGCATATCCTTTCCATTTTATATTGCTGTCACTTTTATAGCCTTTTTTCCTCTTTCAGTATATTGTCATGGCTCTTAGCTTTTCAAGTTATGGATTATGTCATTTATATTTATTGGGTGCACACTATCAGCCAAAAAAGAGAAACACCAATAAGAAATGTTAGAATGAATAAGAAATGTTAGAATGAATAAGAGAATGTTGGCCACTCATCTTTTGTACGTGTAAAATGTATATGCAGATTAGCGTTATATGAATTACAGATTCACTCCATTACTTTCAAGAATGCTAGGCACTGGCCTTAATAATGTGTTCATTCTGAAAAAGAAAAGCATACCACCATTCTAAGCCCAGCTGCACAAGCAAAACAGACAGAAGCAAACCTAGAACCAGAACTGGATTGCTGTGACTTAACAGAAAAGGAACTAATGCCCTGGCATCATGCAGAATGGATGGGGTATAAAGTACCATAAGGCCTTGCTTGTAGAGCTTTCTTAAAATAAAGGACTATATTGAACTGTTCAGATTTCATTGCGAGACATCCCCAATCTAAAATTCAAGTCCAAAACCTAATACTTTTTTTATGGCAAGAGTTTTGCATCATCCTGCAAATAATGAATTTTAATTTTCCCCAAGTGACTATTACTAGAACTAATATGTTTAACTTCTAGGGTTCAAAATTATGTATTTTGGCATCATGGTTTATGATTTAAACTTTTTCAGTCTTTGGACTTTGTTGAGGTCTTATACATGTTTGAAAAGAGAATGTTAGTTTTATTTATAATTACATACCAGGAAATCTAAGCCTCTTGACTGTTAGAAGCATATCTTCATAGCACAGCTCTCAGAGCACTTTTGCTTACATCTTTGTTGCAGTTTTCCTTTATGGGAGAAGCTAATATCTCCATATGCCGTGCCTTAAATAAAGGAGAACTGGAGTGTATGCAGCTAAAATCCACACTTTTAGGGCCCTGTGGCACATATTGGCATCAACGTTTTTATTTCCTTATAAAAAATAAAAAGAAGGAAACACTTGCATCTTTTATGTTTTTGGAGGATGGCAGTACCAGGTATCTGTGTATAAGAGCCGGGAAGGAAATGATGCAAATCGTCTAAGTAGATCTAGTCTCTCTGACAGCTGTGTATTGGATCTGCGGCCTTTGTTTTTTATTTCTCTGCTCTTTTCTAATATCTGCCTTATTTCTCTCATTGCAGACCAGTGTCTTTTCTCTCTTACAGAGTTTTAGTATTATTCAGTGAGAAGTTTTCAAATTGTGCATGTTAAAATTAGAATTTGAAATCAATCTACCATCCTCATCGATTAGAAATTAGAATACTGGTTGCCAGGGGACAGGAGGAGTGGGCATGGGGAATTAGAGTTTCAGTTTGGGAAGATGAAAAAGTTCTGGACAGAGACGGTGGTTTTGGTTGCTTAGCAATGCTAGTGGACCTAATGCCAGTGAACTGTTCACTTAAAAAATGGTTAAAATAGTAACTTTATGTTATGCGTATGTTGCCTCAATTTAAAAAAAAAAAAAAAGGCAAAGAAAGGAAAACAGAAAAGAGCTATCTAAAAGCTGTTCAGGCTCTGCTCTTACAGACAGCAGCCAAAGTCAGATGGAGGAGCAGCAGATGAGGGTCACTGTGACAAAGAATGAGCAGAAGTGGCTCCATGGATCCTGAGCATGACCCTTTGCAAAGCAGTTCCTTCTGCTACTTTGTGGGCAGCTCCAAAGCCCAGATTTTAAGGAGAACATGCACAGTGTCTTGGCCCATTTATTATTTGCCAAATATATTACCTAAGTAAGTTCTGTAATCTCTTGCCCACATTTTCTTATGATTAAATAAATAAAATATTACAATAATATATTAGCTAATATATTCACTATTAGACTCAGTTAAAATAATGCTAAATAGCTTTTTAAAGTTGATGGCACAACATTATTTTATAGGATGAAAATACTAACACTGTTTGAGAAATAGTACTGTGTGGTGATCAGTTTTAAATATATTCATTCTTTTAGTCAGCAGAGATTTATTGAGTACCTAGAACCACTAGGCACTGTTCTGGACACTAGAAATTTTGGGATAGGCGAGATGAGATAGGAATATTAACTAGGAAATAATCTCATTTAAAATCATATAAACTTTAAAATAAATCAAATTTAAACTGAAACTATCTGCCACAGTTTTATTAAAAATTGCTCTTAGTAACTGATTACACCAGCTACCACATAATTCTGTTTTAATAACTACAGAGGCTCCTGCTGTGCTTTTTGCTTTCGGAGCCAAAGTTCTGTTTCGTGACTTCTACGGGGTAATTTCCCCTCACACGGAAGATGAAGGCAGCAACTCATCCCTCAAAGGCCCTAAATCAGACAGCCTCCACCCAGAACAAAGGAGGCAGGCAGGAAATACCACATCCCATCTCTCCCAGGAGCCAGCAGACACCTATCCCTATCTCTACGCCTCAAAGAGGTCTGCTGTATGTCAAGCCAGGCTATTCTATATTAGAAAAGAGCTCATTAAGATAAGTGGCAATTAACATCTATACCACAGTAGAAGTGCTTCTGACATTAAGGAAGAAAATATAAAACATGGGCTCCTTTAGATAAACTGAAATGCTTCTACAGGGGGCCTTCCAAGATATTTGCTGTGCTTTGTTTTGAAGATTACAGAAACATTAACAGATTTAAATTTAGCCAAAGTAAGCCTGAAAGTAATAGTCAATACTGCTAGTATTGTAAAAGTAGCCGTTAGAAACACAAACACTGGACTTGTCTGCTAAGCAGTGTGCATACTGGACACAGGTACACACACACGCACATGTACACACAGGCTTGACCTGCTCTGCTTAAGTAACCATGACCCCTTGATGATGATAGATTTACATTTGTATCCATTAGAAAGGAAAAGAGTTTGTTTGATTACCCTGCCCTGTTGCTTTAATAAAAATTAAGGCAATACATGCAACATGTAACAGGACCTTCTGTGCGTGTCATTGAAGCCCATACCATCTACTGAAGCACTTGTATGTGATGTGTCACATTAGCTCATTCCCTGTAATAAGCACTTACAAATTGCGAGGAATAAAAACGCACCCTGGTCCTCAGTCAATAGGAGCTTGTTGTACGTTTCCAGAGGGGTATGAAAGGGACAGGAAGCCACCGCAGCAGCCTGGCCAGGCCGTCTCATTGAAAACCAGATCACGGGCCTGGGCACAAAGGCTGCTTTGGGGCCATGGCAGGAACTCCGAGCGCGGCGCTGAGAAGTGAGCATTTGTGGTGTGGGGTGTCTCTGCCTCTGCCCCCTGCTCCCCTCTAACCACCTCCTCCTCGCCGTCTTCTCTCTTAGCACTGACTGCCAGGGCCGCTGTTGCCCCGGCTCTGCCCTGTCCTCTTTGCACCTCTCCTGTCCCGTGTCACTCTACAGTGCCTGAATTCGAGCTTGCTCAAGATTGCTGCTAGGACTGGATTGTG